TGATCACTGCCCTCAAGAACATGTACTAATGCAAAAAAGAAAATCCATTTAGCCAAGAGCTTTTTAGAAAGAACTGGCATTTAAGAGTGTTTTGAATTGCTGACAAATGCCATTTCCCTTCTGGCTTCTTTTTTTAAAATAAAAAAGGCACACAGGCCCCAAAGGTACCCCCCCCCCCCCAACCCCCAGGTATATAGCAGATCTCTCTCTCTCTCTTCATGGAAACACCAAATTAAAATGAAATAAAAAACATTACACATTCTCTTTACTGGCCTGAAACATTTTGTGACTAGCTCTCTGTAGCTGGATCAGCATCTCTCTGAAATCTCAGTACCTAGGGAAAAGGGTTTTTTTATTACAATGCGCAGCATTTTTTGATCTTTTGTTTGCTGTCCAAGTTGGCCTGGCTTGTGATTGTTTTAGCAATTGGCTTTGAATTCACAGTGAATACTTGGGCGACTTTACACTAGTTTGCATGTGAATCACAGACCACAAAAATCTCACATCTCATAGCACAACATACTTTATGTAATGAAAATCATGAAAATATTTATCACATACAGACTCAGGGTTGGAGTACTTATCTATGCAGTACTCTGATTTTATTTTATGTACACACTTTTCCCTATAGTCTTTTATACTCACCGACCACTTTATTAGGTACATCTGTTCAACTGCTTGGTAGCACAATTGCTAATAAGCCAATCACATGGCAGCAACTCAGTGCATTTAGGCATCTGGATGTGGTGAAGAAGACTTGCTGAAGTTTTAAACCGAGCATCAGAAATGGGGAAGAAAGGGGATTTAAGTGAACTTGAACGTGACATAGTTGTTGGTGCCAGATGGGCTGGTCTGAGTATTTAAAAAACTGCTGATCTACAGTTACTCATGTCAATATGGACCAAAATCTCTGAGGAATGTGTCCAACACCTTGCTGAATCTATGCCACGAAGAATAAGGCAGTTCTGAATGCAAAAGGGGGTCCAACCCGGTACTAGCAAAGTGCACTTAATAAAGTGGCTGGTGAGTGTATATGACATGTTTATTCCAACTTTAGGCAACTTTATGACCCAGGTCATTCCAACTCAGGATTTATCCTCCAAAAGTCTATTTAGCCTATTTATTTAATGGTGGACGGGGTGTTTGGGAATAGTTTTAAATGATTTATTCTATGCTCTTGAGTGCCTATTGGATATTTATCTGTTCCTAAATTTATGTTGTTATTGCTATAATGAAGAGGGTCATATGTGTGAATACATTCATTCCGTCGTATTCGTTATATTGAACCAATTCATTTTCGGCATTCATTTTGTTATATTCAGCATTTGTTTCATATATTTGTTGGTGGTTTCAAACAATTTTGCAGTTGTTTTTGAAAGACTGCTAAATATTAGTTTTCAATTTCGATATTTCGGGTGGATTTGTTATTTATACAATATATAAAAACTATTCGATAATTTTGGATGTACCGGAACAAATAATGCAAAATTCGATTGCCTCAAATTTTTCAAACCTCAGACTTGTATTAGACTGTTGAACTGAACTAACTGACTTTGACAAATTCAATTTAAATCACAACTTCATTCAAATTGAACAAATTTGAAAACTGAATTAATTTCCCCATGGTCCTGACTATCGCATCATGTGATCCCATCCGAATGAAACAAATGCATTTGATCATTTAGGTATAACTTAATTCAGATTCCTTGACATTTGGTACTATGTCCATTTGGAGATTCATATACATTCGAATCTCCAAAATCATATTTTTGTCTACAAAACAATTTGTTACAAAACGGAACGCACATGTCTAGTCTTGTTCCTTCCTGTGCTGGTGTTTGAGGCAACTTGGACAGTTTATGAATGGATGCATCTTTGTGGTAGACTTAGGTCTTTGAATACAGGCAGCTGATCAGTGGTATATTGGGTGTTGTATATGAAGGTCTAAGCATTCTTGTAAAATTACTGGTTATAAAATGTCACAAGATGGTGGTTGGAGGAGATTGTTTACTATTTTCCACGCATTATCCCCAAAATAAGTTTAAACACCAAGAAAAAGTGCACAACAGGGGATTTGGTGGAATGAAAAATCAATACACCAAACATTAGATATACAGATAAAAAAATACTGCTTTATTAAAAATATTGAAAATAAATAATAACTGTGCTAGGTAAAAAAGAAAAAAATATATACATACACCAATCAATAAGTAGTCACTGCACAGCTGTGATACCAGTAGAAAAATCAATAAACAAAAAACAGTAGCGCTAAGAAATCCTACTTTATAATAAACTGTAAATAAATCTCATAAGATAGCAAAAATAAATTTGTATACACACGCACATACACAATTTATATATGCATTATACAGCATAAATCAGTGTATAATTATAACTTTACCAGAACTGAAGATAATTAGTGAACTACAGTCCTTGTATGCACATATACTGTACAATTTATTGTTTTTATTATTATGCCACATTTATATAGCTCCAACAGTTTATGCAGAGCTTTACAATATAAGGACAAACAGTACAATTACAATACCATTTAATACAGGAGAAGCAGATATATACATACCCCATGAATCAGTGTGAAATTATAACAAAACCAAAACTGAGAATAATTAGTGAACTACAGTCCAACTGATCCCATGTTTTTTCTGATATGGATGCAGGTATGTGCGCCCTTATCCTTGGTGGAATCACTATTGAATATTGATTACAAGCGCATCTTCACCATTTATAATTTAATAATCAAACGTATTTGGTAAGAGGCGTCTTTGTGTCTTTTGCATATCCTGTGGTGGCATATATCGCATCATAGTATGTGGCTGGCCATTCTCACTGAAGGATCTGATCATCACAGACACTTTCAGCTGGAATGTAGTTCACTAATTATTCTCATTTTTGGTCAGCAATGAATAAAGTACACATTTGTCTAGAACAAGGGTCTCCAATCTTTCTAAACAAAGGGCCAGTTTACTGTCCTTCAAACTTTAGGGAGGCTGGACCTGTGGCCAATAGGGGCAGAAAATGCCCCGGCGGCAGTAGGAGTAAACAATGCCCCATCATTGGTAGTAGTGGATGGAATAGTGACCCATCATTGGTATTAGTGGGGGGAATAGTGCCCCATCATTGGTGTCAGTGGGAGCAATAGCACCCCTTTATTGGTATCAGTAGGAGGAATAGTGCCCCATTGTTGATGTCATTGGAAGGAATAGTGCCTCATTGTTGATGTCATTGGAAGGAATAGTGCCCCATTGTTGATGTCAGTGGAAGGAATAGTGCCCCATCTTTGGTGTCAGTGGAAGGAATAATGCATCAACATTGGTATCAGTGGGAGCAATAACACCCCGTCATTGGTATCAGTGGGAGGAATAGTGCCCCATTGTTGATGTCAGTGGAAGGAATAGTGCCCCATCTTTGGTGTCAGTGGAAGGAATAATGCATCAACATTGGTATCAGTGGGAGCAATAACACCCCGTCATTGGTATCAGTGGGAGGAATAGTGCCCCATTGTTGATGTCAGTGGAAGGAATAGTGCCCCATCTTTGGTGTCAGTGGAAGGAATAGTGCATCAACATTGGTATCAGTGGGAGCAATAACACCCCGTCATTGGTATCAGTGGGAGGAATAGTGCCCCATTGTTGATGTCAATGGAAGGAATAGTTCCCCATCTTTGGTGTCAATGGAAGGAATATTGCATCTTATTAGTAGGAAAAATAGTGCCCCTAGAGCCATTTAAAGTCAAGCAAAGGGCCACAGTTTTGTGACCACTAGCCTTGAACCATAATGTCATGTAAAATCTTCCAGAAACATAGCAATATCTTATACACATCTCATCAAAAGGCTTTTTTCAACATGGTATGAACATAGAACTCTTTCATAAAAATATCCAAAAACACTTGATCCCGTGTTCATGTGCAACCATTTAGACCAGAGTCTTTTGCAGGAAAGGGTAAAAGAAAGATGGAACCTGAATCCCCATAAACTAATGGTGGGTGGGAACTCCACACTAGATGAAAATCAAGCCAGACAATATAGATGTAAAATGCCTCCAATATAATTTTAATACAGATTTTTGGCTATTTGGTGAAGCAGGAATGATGCCCTCTCTATTAAGGGGAACCAGCAACTCTTCCAGTACTGTATCAGGAAAAAAGTAGAAGGCAGAATGGCACCCTTCTCTTTGGATCTCCCACAAAATGATCAACGTGATGACTTCACAGACGTAGACTAGAAGTGAAAGGGGTGCAAACCAGAGGTTCCCATATACACTGTGGAGCACATGGCACAATCCCCACCTGGCATGTGCCCAACCCCTTTCCCTTCTATCCAGGACGCCAAAGGATAAAAAGCTGCAATGAAGAGGGGTAGGCCATTTGTATACATGATCACAGGGGAATAAGAAAGTAGAAAGTGGTCTGGATGGATCGACGTGATGAGGGACCAAAAGTGAAGCAGGCATGAATTGGAAGTTCCCACACAGTATGTGTTTCCCGTTGCTTTATAATGTGGAATACATTGCACAATCTCCATCTATCATATGTCCAACCCCTTCCTCTTCCACCCAGAGCACAAAAGAACGACGGGAGGCAAGTCATTGGCATACACAGTCAAAGAGGGGATAAAGAAAGGGGTAAGTGGACTAGAAGCCCCCTGGACAATAGTAAATATATGTGAAAGATGGCCATTTCATCCTGTATACAATTTGGAGATGAGATGTGGCCCACAAGTCTGCAATCAGAAATAAAAAACCCTTACAGTGTAGTACATATTACATATAAATATAGTACATATAGTGCATCGCATACTAGCACATTTTGTGAAACTTACCTTAAAGCGAAGCCCTCCAGTGGCACCCTGTTACCGATGACAGGGCTTCCATCTTCACTTGGTCCTTCTTTCAGGTTTGCGGACTCCGGCGGCTTGAATGGCCGAGCTTCAATGACGTCATGCATGGGAGTCCCTTTGCACCAGGGGCGGACGGACAACTCATGGGGCCCCCGGGCAATAGGGGATCATGGGGCCCCTGTGTCCTTGCCCAAACTCAAAAAAGCCTATGAAAAAGGTACCAGGGGCATCTCATGGGGCCCCCTACTGACCCTGGGCCCTCGGGCAGTGTCCGAGTTTCCAAATGGTCAGTCCGCCCCTGCTTTGCACAGTACAAGCTCTGAAGGAACGGCACAGGCATGATGTTCCTTCAGAGAGCAGGTGCCGGTGCTCTATACAGGTAAATATCTTATAAATGGTGCACATTTAGGAGATATTTACACTACCTACAGGCAAGCCTTATATAGGTTTACCTGTAGGTACAAATTCAAAATAAATTGTGTACATGCTGTATACAGTATATATTCCACATGGATAACTGTGAAATAACTCAAAGCACCCTGCTGCTCCTCTTATGCCCAACTGGTGCCCAACTGGTGCCTAACAGCTTGTAGGTTGCATACAGAGGGACAGCAGATTGGACAACCGGGGGTCTGGATTATATAGTGTACTGTGCAATGTACAGAGTGGGCAGTCCGTACTATATGATGTCCAGCACAACTTACAAGGTGCAGCAGAGTGTATAATGTATGGCACAACATACAAAGTATGGCAGTTTGGCGTATGCAACTAGTCACATTCACTTCAATGCTGATAACCTCTGAAGAAATCAATATGATTATCAATATTATTAATATAATGGTTGAACAGCGAGCAAATAATTGTATGAGTCTCATCAAATATTTCTTTCAAGTAAAAGTTACAATTATTATTTAAAATTATTTGCTGAAAAAAACACTTCAGCCTTCTGCTAGCATAATGTATATTTTTAAGATCATTTTTGTATACATCAAAGGCTTCTAAAATGTTCTTCTTTCTTTAGCAAAACTGTTTCATCTTTCTCCTGTATAACGCTCTATTGTTGATGTAGCAGAAGCAGTGCAGTAGAATTTGTACAACCTTGTACACCTCATGCTGAAGAACACCAGAAACATCTGGTAATATTTTTCTGCAGAAACTCGTGTTTGTTTAGCTATATCCATAAACCCCATGTTATTACACTGGGGCTGAAAAAGCAGCTCTTACAATTCTTTTCACAATTGTATCCAAGGTCTCTGGACATACTGAGACAGAAATTGTGCATTTTAGGAATTATTCTCGGAAATATAAAACTTAGAAAGCTGTATCCACAAGAACATAGGATGCCTGCCCAGTAGATGCACCACCATAAAAGCGAATTAAGTGGTTTTGACTTTGAAGCAGAGTTTACAGGGACAGCAAGTGCTACCTGTTAAGATAACTTTGTGCACTTGGTCTTGCCTGCTTTGTAGGCGCTAACTTCTTCAAGTCACCATTTTAGTGGACTCTGGTGTAAATTGCACAGAGCAGGTAAGCATGTTTGCTTGTTTTTCTTTAAATAAACGTTGTGCCTTTAGAATCACTTTGACAAATTCAGCAAACTATTAAGATAGTGCAGTACCCCCCTAGTTAGCTAGGGGAGCTAGAGTCCTGATTGATAGAGAGGAGGGCAGAGTAGCAGCCTGGGTGTAATAGCCAGAAGGTCAAATTGTGGTCAGGAGCTGAGAGGCAGGCCAGCCCCTCTGTAATTTCACCCTGCTCTAGTGCTTTGGAGGGAACGCCTAGAGGCAGTGGGTGGATCTGAGTAGTGGCTGACTTGCACTCTAGCTAATCCCCAACAGAAGGTTTGGTAAGGGGCTGGGACACTCTTAAAAGTGTTGAAGCCTTCTCAGTTGCAGGAGAGTTTGGGTGGAAGACTGTGAGGAAGATATGAGGCTAAAGGTGAAGGCTACAAGGAGGCCCAGTGGGATGGGGCCTACCTGTAGGTCTTGAGCAGGAAAGGAAGAAAGCTCAGAACTTCACGGGCCCACAGAGTGAGGACCACCTGTATGGTAGGGAAGGAGCGGCCCAGCTCAAAGGCCTGGTAGCAGCCACCAACCCACCAGCAGTACAGGAGAGGATCTGAGTGAGTACATGTGTACCCCCTGGGCCAAATAGGGGAAGGAACACTCTGGTGGGGAGCCAGATTTGCTGTCTATTTGGGACTGTCCATGTTCAAAGTGACAGGAACCATACCCCTTGTTCAGGGATACCTCCAGATTGCTGGGTGAAGAAGAAGAGTTCATCTAGAGACTAGGGTGGTACATTAAGAAAATGCTGGCTAGCTCTCCAAAAGAGGCTGTTCTGCAGTGAAGGCTTGTAAACAGTTCCAAGAAGATTGTCCTCAGTTTCATCAGTTCTCTTGGGCATCCTGTACAACCCTAACCCTATCCCAGTTAAAATGCCCTGAATAAAAACAATCAAACCAAAGTTCAAGGACTGATCTCTGACTCTGAATGCAAGCTTGTGTGAAGATGTGTGATGCCTGGCTGTGCAGGACTATAGGGGGACTCAAGTCTTCTAGCAACTTCTAAGGGGGTAGTGCTACAAAAGTGTGTGCTATGGATGAATACATTGAGTCTAGAGACTCACTATAATTAAAACAAAAACATGAAACCATTGTTCTTTTCTCTTGTTTTCTGGTCCCTGTAATTAAAAACTAGCTTCTGTCTTCAATAGCAAATTAGTGTCAGTTTTAAAAACATTTACCTTAATACATTCTCATGTAAAAAATGCTCCATTACATGTCCTACCAATCCCCATCCCTAAACACTTACCTGATTCCTGTCACTCTTCCAGCACTGTCTTGGCTGCAGCACCATTGACTTCACTTTCTGCTTTCACAGGAGACACTTTACAGTAGGAGCCAAATCATGTAGCTGCTGACCTTTAATAAATGGACATTTACCTGTCCAAAGATCCGGTGCCGACCTCACCTGGCCTAGTTCTTCACTAGCCTCTGGGTTCCCAGTGCCAACATCTAAACTGTGGGAAGCCGGCTGTGTGGCTTTTGGCTGCTCAGCAAACTGGCTACTGTGCATGTGCGCTGTGCTTTGCGAATGGTCTTGCAGTCTTCCACTTAGATCGCCTAAGTGATCCGAGCAGAAGTGGGAGTGTGTACCTATCAAAACTAGGTACCTGCTCCCCCCCCCTCCAAAATTTCATGCCAAGTCAGGCAGGGGGGGGGGGGGGGTGTCTTAAAGCAGAACTTTCCCAATTGGATGGAGCTCTGCTTTAAAGCACTGTAATATTGTAGCAAGGAGCTGATCTGTGTCAAACGTTGCATGATTGTGTCATTTGTGAGCCAGCATCTCATACCAGAAAGTAGATCCTGACCTTGGATGATGCCTGAATATGAAATTGTTGTCAGTGTACTTTGAATACTGGAAATGCAACACTTATTTATTTATTTATTTCAGGTACTTATATAGCGCCGTCAATTTACGCAGCGCTTTACATATATATATTGTACATTCACATCAGTTCCTAACCCTCAAGGGGTGTACAATCTAAGGTCCCTAACTCACATTCATACATACACATACTAGGGACAATTTAGACAGGAGCCAATTAACCTACCAGCATGTCTTTGGAGAGTGGGAGGAAACTGGAGGAAACCCAAACAGGCACAGGGAGAACATGCAAACCCCAAGCAGGTGGTGCTGTGGTTGGGATTTGAACCAATGACCCTTGTACTACCACGTGGAAGTGCTAACCATTTAGCCACTGTGCTGCCCAACACTTACACATTACTTAGCAGGTATACACTTCCAAACATTAAAAAAACACATTTTCCTAGACCCACTTATAACTAATAACTGTACAGTAAGTAATAGAAGTTTATGATTGTTGTATATACTTTGTGTCTTCAATAATTATCTTCCTGAGATCTTTCCATTCTGGTTTCCTTTGGCTCTCTCTCTTTCCAAGAGTCCTAAATTCCACAATTCTCAGTGACTGTAATTCTTTTCATTTACTGTTGGCAGGTTGTTCGGGAGATTTTATGATTCATATACTTCTTACTCCTGTGTGACCTCTTGGCTCCTGCACACAGTTCCGTGCTGGATGTCCAACCAGGCACATAAAAAAAGACAAATGTTTTAATCATTTAGGTCTGTGCCTTGTAGAACATAGGCCAATCTTTAAGGTAGAACTCTTGCTAAAATGTGTTTTTCCAGCTTTGGATAGAGTGGGGAATGGTTGGAACTTCTGTCAGGTTTTTATCTTCGTTTGTGTCCAATAGTGAGATCTACCCCTGTCATGGACAGAAAGACAAGAAGTCAGGGGGGCATTATCAAAAGGAACACTATTGTATTGTATATTATTATTATTATTATACAGGAATTATATAGCACCAACAGTTTGCTCAGCGCTTTACAATATACCGGAGAGCAACAATACAGTTCAATACAAGAGGGATAGGAGGGCCCTGCTCCTTGGAGCTTACAATCTAGGATACAGTTAATATATATAATAAAACAAAATAAATTACTGCATTTTTTCTGTTTCTGAAGCCTATATATTTTTTTTTCAAGTAAAGGTTACAGTATGAAAAGACTGAGCACAGAACTGAGCATAACAAAGTACAGCCTATGTAGAACAGAGGTATTGACTTGTACTATTTCATCACATATCCCAAAAATAAGAGGATTGTTCCCAATTTCAGGTAAGTGGGTAGAGCCATGCAAATCTTTCCTTCATGCCCCAGAGACTAACTGGTCCTTCATAGAAGCCATTATTTTTCATTACAAGATAGGGGACAGAGCCATGCCAATTATTAATTTATGATCCATTGACTAACTTCACATTTATTTATTTCTTACAGGTACTTACTGATATAGCACTGTCAATGTATGCAGCACTTTATGTATTTATTATACATTACAATCTAAGGTCCCTAACTCATATTTATACATACACATACTAGGGCCAATTTAGACAGGAGCCAATTAACCTCCCAGCATGACTTTGGAGTGTAGAAGGAAACCCATGCAAGCACAGGGAGAACTTGCAAACTCCGTGCAGGTAGTGACATGGTTGGGATTCAAACCTACGACCCTAGTGCTTCCAGGTGAAAGCACTAACCACTCTGCTCTGCACATCCAGAACTGCTAGTGTATAGTACAAATACAGCCTAATAATATACCATTAACCATTTATTTCAAACTGCATACAGATAATTCAGGCTTGGTGGCCCTTAGTATAATGTATGGAAACCATGGC